AGCGAGTCAAAGTTGCTGCTAATTCGAGCAGGTATGTAGCCTGCAGAGCAGGCGTTTTTTAACGAAAACTCAGAGGTACATTGATCGTGGCCGCCATCTTGAAAAGCAACGAAGAAGACTAAGGGGGAAGGGCAGTGGAGTTCTCGGTGGAGTTCTCGCGGTTCTCGAGTACGTTGTTTATAACGGCGGCCTGGAACAAGAGGTGATAGAACTGACGTTCACCATTCATCGATCAACATACCGTTGATTGTTTTTCGCAAGAATAACCTTCAATAACTATGTATTTGTTCAATTTTTTTTGTAAATGAGTAAAATGCCCAGAAAAAAAGGGGAGCGTTTGCTAATTCCCTTAATCCAACCTTAACCAGGGGCGGATCCAGGTTTTTTGTTAGGAGGGGGTGCACTCGTCTCTTGCTCTACTTCAACACCAATAAACCACATAGTTTATATTTTTTTTGCAGAATCCCAGTTGTATTAGAAAACGCAGGTCATCTCGAGAGGGGGAGGGGGGTGCGCACCCCTGCACCCTCCCCCTAGATCCGCCCTTGTTAACTCACCTGTCACTCAAGTCAAAATATTGCAAAGTTTATTTTTTTTCTGAAATCCAAAAACATAAATAGTCGGCTATGCAAAAGACTTCCCTATGAGTTTAAATGAAAGAGAAAATTAAACTATACAACGCCTCAGCCTCCCCCCTCTCCACAGGCGGCCTGTCTTTCTGCGTCCAGGCTGGGTCAAATGGATCCATGACTGTAAGCTAGCGATTCTTGATTCTTTTATAGAAAGCTTGCTCAAAAGCTAGAAACAAATGTCAGGCATAGACCTCTCATGACCAGCTTTTACCTCACCCTGATGAACTGGTTTGCTCACAGGCTAAACGCTTAAAGGATTCCACTGATATAAACCAAATAGTTTTTGACAATATACCTCGTGCTGTAGAAAAGGCAATAACTATAGTATAATCAAGTCAGATATTTTTAACTTTGAAAATAACTTTGGCTCGTTCAATGAAAGAGGAGAAATGAAACCAACACCATAAGTTCAAACTATTTTGACGCATATTTAAAAAAACTATTCAATTTTTTTTTTATTTGCAACATGTCATCAGTGTAAGTGCGGAGTGAATCGCATAAAGAGACGAAAGTGGGTTAAGGGAAAATGCTTCTCAATGCTGCCGGTGCTGTCCTAACAATTTGTAATTTTTAGCTCTGAAAACAAACACTTCCTGCATTCTTTTAGGTATATTTGAAGTCAATGACACTCATTTAACGCTGACAGTATGCCCGCGACATCGAAGTATGTTTGGAGTACGATGGCGTTGCAATAAGTCACGGTGTACTGTCCCCTCTGCTTTAGCTGTTCATGGACTTGCTGGTTCTCAGGGACAGTGTGGGTTAAAGAGCGCTCTATCTGCATATATTTTCAGCTCAACTAAGATGCTCCTCCCAGTTGGCTCACGTATGTGTTAAGACAGTTTTTAAATAGTTACACTTCTATCTAGATTTCTGCAAGACTGTAAGAAAATTGATAAGTTAGAGTCCTGCTTAGAGCAGTAGCCCGCTGAATGTGTGATTGAAATTTGTTTAAAAAATTATCATGGTTTTAGTATCTAAAAAGAGAGTGCAAGGTCTAATCTATTTGCCCCTAGGTTTTTTGTGCCCTTAGATCCGTCCGTAGATCCGTAATCACTAACTCGTGGTGTATTTTTAATTGCAGCAATATGCCGACGGTGCAGACAACATTTATCAGAACTTGTTTCTCAGACCGAGTCTGCCTCAGCGGTGCATGAACAATTGCCGATCCTACAAGAACCTGGAGAACAAGAAATCGTTGCTGAAGATCTTGAACAACACGCCCAGGAACAGGTTAGAGCTTCCATAATAAAGTCTCAAATGCATACCTTGAAAAAATCATTTGTATTCTCTAAAAGTGCCTCATAGATCCACGTAGACTGATGAAACACTGAAAGACGGACACTGCATCCCGGGGGAGGCACTCAGTCAAAAGGGGTTTCCTTTCAAGGCTTCCACTTGAAAATGACACCCTGTTCGAGACAATCAATAGTGAAGTTGTAGACCCTTTTTAAGTCTCAAAACCTTAAAAACCATACCCTATGCAGCGGGACAAACGCGTATGGACTAAATGAGTGGTCCCCCTTTCTCAGGTCGACTTCTTTGAGGACTTGTACCATGGTAGCCGCTAACATGGTACACAGTAAAGACTATATAAGTAACCGTCCGTTGCTTATGTTTGTTGTATAGATTCAAGATGATGAAGGGAGTGTCAGATCCGACGAGCTGGCCGTTAGTTTGGGGGGTTTAAAGGTGGCTGATGAGAGTTACATTCTTTCCCCCCGCGGGACGGGCAGCACTTTATCTTCATCTGGTAATGAAAATGGAGTAGCAGTAGCAGCAGCAGCATCTCAGCCCATCCTACTTGAACATCTTAACAAGTTTTTAATCCAGTGTCAGATCCAGCCTATTCGAAGGCCTTGGTTTGACTGGGATAAAGTCAGCAAAAGAACCAGACAGCGATACGTAACGAGAACAAGCGATATCCTATCCACGGTCATAAAAGTCATTTCTCCAGCTAACGCGCCTTATCTTTGGAACGAAATTCAGTCATCTAGTTTTGTTAATCAGCAGCTAGGTCCCGTTCAGCCATTTCTACCATCAGAGAGGGCTTATTTGGAATCGCTGGCAAAAGCGTATGAACATTCAACTAGCTGGGATACGCGGCGACAAGTTCTTTCTGTTATGGCTGGAGTGGCGAGTTTCAACTCTATCTCCCATTTTATACCCGGTCTGACACATTACCGATATAGCATTTCAAACATTCACCGCCTGCAGCATGGACCTGGTGCTCCAGTTCCGAAAGACAAAGCACCAAGGATAAGGATAAATCTGCAACAGCTAGACCACTTTCTTTCCTTCATTACCAGCCCTCACCTGGTCCAGGACCTTCCTTTTGGCGAAAAACACTTAGAGCTCTCATCAGGAAAGATAATAGCCGTGCCCAATGTTATTCGTACTATGATCCCGGAGCGGATAGTAACGCAGTACATCCAGTTTTGTTCAGAATGTAATTTCAGTCCTTTTAGTCGTAGCACCATGCTTCGCATATTGACTGAGTGTAAAGCATCTGTACGTAAATCACTTCAAGGGCTGGATTACTTCGCTGCTGAGGGTGCACGAGCATTTGAAGACCTGGGATCGATTGTGGACAAGATTTCACCATTTAGAGCTGACGGAGCAGAATGGGCTACTGCAACATACGATGCCCTGAAGGCAGGAAAGTCATACCTAAAAGGAGACTTTAAGGTTTGTTCGTGTACCTTATTAGAAGTGTAATAAATGTAACACTAGCATTTGCTCCAGGCTTAATTGCACAATGACATTTTGACTCTTTATTGGACTGCCTGTGGCAGAGTCAATCTAGTTTCAAATTAAAAAAAGTATAATAGGTATTCTCCCTTCGGCAAATATATGTGAATCGATAAGGTTATAGAGATCCAAAACGCTCGAATTAAGCAAGAGGCATATGCCTCCAATTTGCTACCAAGTAAGTCAATGTAAGTTTTGCTACCAAGTAAGTCGAGTCTTGACTCTTATGGAATGAAAGATTGCGGGACTTTCACGGGAGTTCACACGTTTCATGAAGTGAATTATTTAGCATCTTGTGGCAAGGCAAAAAAGATAGAGAAAGTGAGAGTAATGAACGCAAATAAGAAAACACAGTCACCTTTACCCTCCCCAACTCCCTTTTTATCTTACTCCCGGCATACCTCTTTCGCTGTCTGGCACTAGGGCTATAAATAAGCAGCCTTGAAGATCTGCTCCTTTTTTTATCTTTTTACTCATGTGATACACTGCATAGCATTGTCTCTGTATCAGATGTGTAGGGCTGTGAGATGAGAGATGTTACATTATTTTTCCCCTTTTTTATAGGTACATATCGAATCTCAATCAACCGTTGCTGACCACTGTAGTGTGTACGCTCTCAGTGACCCGACCGAGAACTGCTTTACTCAGAAGTGTCATCACCAACACCACCAGCAGTGTGACCAGTGCGAAGCATTGGAGGCGGTCCTAAAAGATATTGGCCGCGCGGTACAGGACACGCGCTTTTCTGACGACGAAGAAAGAGACGAGGCCTTGTACCTTTACGAGTCTGCCACTCAAGCCATCCAATCGTGGAAAAGCCACCAATTGCGGTCAGTAAGGCAAGATCAATCACGGCTGGATGTCTTGAAACGGCTGAATGAAAATACGGTTCTTGTAGTAAACGATTGGGCCATGAAATTTCTCCCTCAGTTGTATCGTGAATCCCAGCAAGACTGGTTCGGGAAGAGGGGGATTTCGTGGCACATATCTGTGGTTTTCCGTCGGGTGAGGGGTGAACTTCAGTCACAGGGTTTCGTGCATATCATTCAGCAGTGCAATCAAGACAGCACGTGTATTATTTTGATTATGCAGCATGTACTCAAAACCTTGAAAGCTGAACACCCCGAGATAACGACTGCTTTCTACCGCCAAGATAACGCGGGTTGTTACCACTGTGCAAACACCATTCTTTCATGTCCTGTCATCGGGAAGTCCACTGGAATTCAAGAATCACGTTTGGACTTCAGCGATCCTCAGGGTGGCAAGGGCCCCGCAGATAGGTTAGCAGCCACGTGCAAGTCCCATATCCGTATTTATATCAACGAGGGACACAATGTCACCAAAGCAGAAGAGATGCAGGAAGCACTACTCTCGCATGGGGGAGTCAATGGTGTTCGTGTGGCAGTTTTACAGACAGTGCCAGAAATAAATCAAGAACAGAAGATCCCGGGAATAAGCAAACTGCACAATTTCGAGTTCAGCGATGGGGCACTTGTGGCCTGGCGGGCGTACAACATTGGTTCAGGAAAACGTTTTGTGATAAAGAAAAGTACAGGTCAGTTTTACTACGTGTTTTTTACCAGAATTTTAGAAAGTTGGTAATCTGAAGGGGCCTAT